GGGAGATGGTGGTAGAGTCCTGGAAGGCAGTGACTCAGGGAAGAAAGGCTCCTTCTGAGTCAACCCTGGTAAGAGGTTGACTTGGGGGCATGGCATCCAGATAGGCGGCTGGGGCAGAGCCAGTGAACCCCAAGAAGATTCCAGGCCATAGGACCTCAGCCTCTCTGTCCCATGATCTGCCCTGAGAACCTCAGGATCTAGGGACAGAACCCATGACCTGAAGGAGGGAGGGCAGGGATGGTGACCTTCTCTGCTCAATGAATTTGTGCAAGGCCACCTACCTGTTCTAACTCAAGTGGGATCATTAATCCCAGAGAGTATGACTCTAAGCCTGGAGAAGCTTGCTGCCTGCTTTCTGCCTAGAGCCCCACCTCCTGACTTCATTTCTGCCCCATTGCCCATCCCTGCCAGCATCCATGAGATGTGGCTAACAGGAGGCCCCAGCCCAGGTCCCTTCTCTTCCTGAGATAGAACAACTGACCAAGATTTCTTTTCAAATCGTCATTACTGTGGTAAAGCTCTTAGAATACCATCAAGTACATAGTAAATGCTTAGTAAATGTTGACTGTAAGATCAGTGTTGTTATAATGGTGGTGATTTTGAATTGCCTAGCATAGATGCTTAACAAATGTTCAAAGTTAATGTTCCTGTTATTATTATCATTTATTACAGCCATCACAGTACCTGGCACATAGTAGGTGTTAAACAAATGCTCAGTCCGCCTGGAAAGTCAAATGCATGCATTCCCCACCTGGAAAAGAGGACATCATTGTGGCACCCTTCTCTCTGGGTTCTGGAAGGGAGAGTAAGGTGTGCAGCAAGGAGCCAAGTTCTGGGGTAGAAGCTAGCAGCCCCACTCTGACCTCCCCTTCTCCACCCCTACCCCACTGATTCAGAAGACTCTCCCTGAGGTTGGGGGTAGGGTGGGCTGGGACCATCTGGACTACCTTGGAGGAAGAGGGCGGGATGGGATGCGTGGGTTCAGGGAGGGCTAGAACACAGGCTTCCTGGAGAAGACAGGGGCTCTGGGGACCAGGCTGAAAGAAGCTGCAAAAGGCCCAGTTTGATAGGGAGCGGTCTCCAGGAATAAACCTGGTGCTGGGCTAGAGGCACGTCCTTCCCCAACTGCCCACCTTTCTGGATCAAATCCTTTAAGATGCAGAAATTGGGGGAGGGACTGCTAAGACCCTGAGCCGGAACTCTGTACACAGTTGCCCCCAGTTTGAGAGGCCTCAGTTGTCCAACTACCCAGGGTCACCCTAGAAGCCTTAGGTGTTGGCCAGGAAAGGATACCCCCACCCTGCATACATGCATACCCCACACCCCTCCCAGCTGATGCCAGCAATACTGGGCTGAGCTTCAGTGCCAGGGAAGAAGGAGGCTGCCTACTCTGCCAACTGGGACAGCACAGCCTCCTTAGTAGCCAGAGAAGGACAGGGAAGGGCTCTCTAGGCCACCTTGGCCTCATGCCAGCCCTCCAGAGGGCGGGACAGGGACTGGTGCTCACCCCCTCCATCCCTTCACACTCACGCCTTGCTGAGAAAGAGAGGAATACTCCCCAGAGCAAGTCCTGGGTCCTGAAAGGTGGAAGATGATGTCAGGGTGGAAGCATGCATTCAGAAACCAGCTGCTGTGGCAGCACACACGCACAAGCACACATACTCGGGACTGCCACATGCAGATGTGCACAGTCATGTGCAGACGTACTTACTGACAGCGGTGGGCCTGTGCAAACTAGAACAGGCACATACTCCCTCCTCAGAGACCTGAGACACAGCCTAGCAGGCAACCTGAGTCACCTGCAATGAGCTAGACACTGTTCTAGGCATTGAAGACAGAGCAGTGAGCAAGACATACAAACAAACACCAGCTGCCCTGAAGGCTGCCTCCTAACAAACCGATACATATAAGATCTAACTTTTGCATGGAATTCTTTGCAGATGAGATTGTGTGATGTCTGGAGTTTGTGGAAAGCAAAGGATGTGGGGGAATAAAATATCAGCCCAGGGTTGATAACTGTTGAAACTGAGGTATGGCACATGAGGTATAGCCACTGTACTGTATTAATTTCTCTATTGCTGTACATGTTTGAAACTTTCCATAATAAAAAGTTAAATACCTACACATATATAACTGGCAATTAGTAATAAGTAAAATGAAGAGAAAAAAGCAGGATGTGGGGACAGAAAGCTGGCCAGAAAGACCCTTCGGATGGTCAGGGAAGGTTTCTCCAAGGAGGTGACATGTAAGCAAAGACCTGAATTAACTGAAGTGTGAACCATGCAGATACTGGGAGGAAAAGCATTCTACACAGAGGGGACAGCAAGTATAAAGGCCCTGAGGCACAAGCAAGCATGGCCTAAGTAAGGAATAGCCAGCAGTCCGGTGGGCCTGGAGTTCTGTGTCCGTAGTGAGATCAGAGAGAGGCCTTGTGGCCCGTGGTAGGAGTTTGGAATCTATCCTGCAAATGGTAGGAAGCCTTGGAAGTTGAGAGCAGGACAGGGACATAGTTTGATTTAGAATATGGTTTCAAAAGATCACTCTGGCTCCTGTTCGACTGTTGTGGAGCAAGAGAGAGAGCGAGAGCATCCTGGGGGCTACTGTAAGAGTTCGGGCAGGCATGCCTGTGGCTCGGGCCAAGCAGTGAGATGATAACTTGGGTCAGTTTTGGAACCTCTTTTGAGGATCTAACAAAGCTTTGCTGGTGGAGGACATGTAGAGTGTGAGAGAAAGAGAGGAGCTGAGCATGATTCCAAGGCTGCGCTGGAGCTCTGGGGTGAGAGGTAGTTCTTCCAGGCTGGGAAACACGTGAGAGCAGGTAGAGCGGGCCTCCGCAGGGACCTCTACACTCAAGTCCAGGTGCACACAGATGCACTCAGCTACCACACAGCTGGATGCACACACTGTAGGGTGCCAGGCACAGGCACAGACCCCACCATTCAACGTCCTCTTGCCCCACCCTCTCCCACATCGAAGCCACCCCACCCCGTCAGAGCTCCGACCCCACCCCCATCCTTCCCAGCTCAGCCTGAGTACCCACAGGACATGTCCCCCTACCCCAGTGTTTCGCTATCAACCCTCACTCCTGTCCATACTGGTTCCTTTAGCAAGGAGATTCCTGGCTCAGATTCTTCTCAGAGACCAGAGCCTGGCCCCGACTCCAGCTCCCTGCCCTTGGTCTCACCTGTCCAGCCCCCTCCTCCATGACCGGATCCTGCTCCCACATGCCAGCCTAAGGCCCTACAGAAAATTATCACTCAGTAAATGTTTGCTCAGTGCCCTCTCGGGGCCAAGCTCTCTGCGGGCCAAGCTCTCTGCTCTTTCACCTTGACTTGAAGGCCCATAGACACACTCACCCAATATCCACCACCTGACCCCTGCACCCCTGCATTCACTCTGCAGGAAGGCTGCTCCCCACCTCCCTCCCATCGCTGAGCTGCTGCACAACCCCACACAGGGCACTCAATGCCTATGAGCCTCCATCTGCTGGGATAGGTCGCAATAATTCTCACCTGTCAGACTGTCACGGGAGATCTTTAGCACGATGCCCAGCACATAGTAGCTGTTATGCACTTAAGCCCATCCTTGCCTTACTGGCCTGTGTGGCTTTGAGGACACAGAACACCTGGGACAGTGGCAATGCCCATAATCGTGATTTCATGTCCTTATGTAATCATCATAACCATAATTTGAGTGATGTGGGGGAAAACTGAGACTGAGGGTTGACCTTGCCTAAGGTCCTCCAGTGAATCCATGGAGGTAGTCCGGAAATGTGAGCCTGCTATCCTGTGTGCAATGGATATATGACAGCCCATGGCCCAGTGGACACTTCCTGCCCTGTACTGACAAATAATGCGACAGCCTGGAAGCCCCAAGAAGTCTGCCCTCACAAAGACAGGAAGTCAACATGTGGCAAGGCTCAAGGTCTGGGTCAAGGTTGGGGCCTGGTCCCAGGCCCAACCCTGCCATTTTCCCTGTATGTGGCCTTGAAGGTCTCACTCAGTTTGTTCACCCATGAAATGAGGCACCTATGTTCTTGGCCCAAATTGCTCTAAGTTTCTGCTCAAAGACTAGCAATCCCTACAGCTCCTTGCTAAGTACTCGTTATTGTGCAGGCACTGCCCAGCTGACTCGTTTTGTTCATGTAACCGTCCTAAAAGCCATCTGACACTCCTGTTATAAATGGACTCAAGGAAACACGGAACAGTTAAGAAATATCCCTAAAACAAGTTTATACAGGGTAGGAATTGCACTTGGGCTCAGACACATGGGTCCTGCCTCTAGATTGAAGAGGGAAAGAAGCCATGGAGCTTATTGCTGTGTGGGGGGCATCACGGCTGTTTAGGGGAGCCTCATACTCCACCCGCACCCGCCCCAGCCAGAGCCCTCCTGCCTCAATGGAAGCAAGGGGCTCTGAGTCAGCCCAGAAGAGTCTTCAGTTGCCTCGAGGCTCTAGCCAGCCTCCTACCATAGGCATCAGCTATTTCCCTTCCAGTACAGGTGGCCCAGGCCTGTGTACCGTCTCACACCAGTCTTGGATGCTCCAGCACCGGCCTTGCTGGGCCTCATTTCCTGGTCCCTTGCACACAGGATGCTTATGAAATACTGGCCATCCAGTGTCCATCAAGGTGCTGCCTGCACTGGGATAACAGAGGGTTGCACAGTGTCTCTAAGCAGCCCCTAAAACTCCTTGTTCTTGAGCATGAGATGGGAGTTTGGATTGATGACCACAAGCCCACAGAGGGAACACTGCCATCCCCAGAGGCCCACAAGGTACAGGGGCAATTGAGAGGGCCCTGAGTGCCAAAGCAGAGACCTCAGCCCCAGAGGCCTCAGGACGGGAATCAAAGGAGGTGGGAAGGCAGCACACGGAGGAATCTAACCAGAGAAAAGACAAAAGAAAGAAAAGACAAAATCAAAATTAATAAAGTTTAATTAAATATCTGTAAGACAAGACATTGTCAAGTAGTAATGGACCCAACTCAAATAGGTATATATTAATGACTTTAATGTGGAATGCCAGCAAAATTTCCTGTGTGACACAGTGTGGGGCTCAGCCTCTAAAATTCAAAGTGCCAGGGGCCTGCCTATGGTCTTCAAATGTGCCACCCCCAAAACGTAGATGCATCCTTCAGGAAAGAAGTGGTCCTCATATTGATTTGAGATTAATTTTCTAACATGTGGGGCAATGAAAAAGCAAGAAAGGAATTCAGGTTAGCTATAGAAAAATGAAGCGATGCTCCTCAGACGTTCATCTGTAACGGAGTCCAAGTTCCCTCTGTGCGATGCTGCTGTCAGCCTCTTCATCTGTGGGGTCTGGCAGGGCCCACCTACCCTCAAACCCCTTTATATTTCTGCTGTTGAGCTCATCAGACTTCCCATTCTTTCCCTCCTCTAGAGCAGAAATCTGTCACCGCCTCTTCCTTCAAACCTAAAGGACTTATTTTAAGGAATGAAGCCAGAAAGCTGGATTCGAGCCTAGAGGCCTGACTCGTGTGAGTCTAGGCAGGTCCTATCCTCCCTCTGGCCAAGTCTTGGTCTCTTGCCCATGAAATGGAATGATGATGCCTACCTAAGTAAGACTGCTGTAAGGATCAAGGAGGCCACAGCTGTGTGAGACACTGCTTGTTAAACAGACTGGATTGCATTGAGCCTTGACTGACAAAACAAAACCCAAGGAAAAAAGGCTTATGTTAAGCTACTTTGAACCCCAAAGGGGGCATTTCACAATTGTCCTTTCTGAGCTAAGACTTGGGGAGGTGAATTTTTTATCATTCCTTGTGAATTTTTTACCAGGGCTCACTGTCTCTTTCTACCTTCCCCACGGAGAGAGGTACCAGAGCCGAACTGGTGGGGAAGCAGTTTTAGCGGAGAGAGGCAGGGAGCTGAGCAGGCTTGGCTCCCGGAGGTCTGAGTCAGCGGGAAGGCAGGCAGGGCGGGGCCCAGTCCTCGCATGCTTGGGGAGATGGTGCAGGAATGTTCCTCCAGCCCAAGGCCTGGGCTCTGATCACTGCATCCTGGATCCTGCTCTTATAGACACAGCAGCCTCAGCTCTGGTTCAAGAAATGGGAGATGCCTGGAGAAATTTGTTTGGCGGCTTCAGCCAGGGAAAGTCAGAGGCAGCTTGAACCTACGGACTGGACTAGGTGGGGTGGGGTGGCGGGGGGGGCGGTAAAAAAAGCCAAGCCACAGAGCCTATAGGGAGCTGAGCACTGCCCTGAAGCATCTCCCATTCCCTGGGGACACTGGGTGATGCAACCAACTTCCACCTCCCCACTAGACCTCAAGTTCCTTGTGTGTGCATGAAGAGCTGAACACGGTGGTGTCGGGTGATGGATGACCTAGCTGGCTCCCCCAGAAGGTGGTACGGGTGCAGCCCAGGTACAGCTACATGTGTGTGACACCTCTGCTATGTGCATGTGTGACTTTGTGGCAGTATGTGTGTATGAGGGTATGGCTGTTGAGTGATGACACAGTTGAGACTGACGCTGTGAACAGAAGACATGTGTGGACGTAGCTGTGAATGTGAGTGTGTGGCACTGTGGCTAGGAGTACAACTGTGAGAGCACATGACCTTGCATACGTGTGCATATCACCAGGTTTGACTTACGTGTCTGTGGAGGAATTGTACAGCTGTGTGTGGCTATGCATGCTTTGGGTTGGGCCAAAGTGTCTGGGACCACATGGATGGGTGGATGACCCTGTGGCTGTGTCACAGGATAGAGGGGCAGTGGTGAGCTGGGCCTGGGACCACCTGTCTCCCTCAGCCCCTGTTCTCCTACAGACGTGGCACAGTGGTTCAGACTTCCCGTGTCCAGGAAACAGCAGGGTGCAGGATCTGAAACCACCTCCCCTCAACCCCCGACATATGGCCACAAAACAGACTCCTTCCCTGGATTGGGCCAAGACTGGGTATCAGGGGTCCCAAATGCTCAAGTCCTGGGGTTGCCCAGGGCAGAGAGACCTTGTTTTCCACTGCTCCCAGAGCAAATGAGAGAGGGAACTAGAGGCAGCTTAGCCCAATGCAATCTGGAACACATGCCTGGCATGTAACTGAGGGCAGCCAGCAAGCCATGTCACCACCAGGGTACTCCCCACACCATTCCCCCAGATCACCAGATTTCAAATTCCCCCAACACCCCAACCCACACATAGAAGGAAACCAGAGAGTGGAGCTGTGATATTCTCAGCCCCCACCACATACAGAATATCTCAGCCTAGAGATCTCAGGATGCCTGGAGTAGGCCTGGGCCATTCCAAGACTTCATACTCTGGTTCTTCTTCTAGGGATGGCTCCCTCACCCTGAGGTGGGAAGTGTGGGAGACGGTCCCTTCTCAAGGAAGGGATACAAGAGGGCAGTCCAGGGCAGGAAGCAAGAACAGGGACTTTCCAGGCACTGTGGGTTTAAGAGCATTTCCATCCCACCCAGATTGACCTCGAGAAGGAGCCACCAACCTCCCACTCCCCGCAGTCCCTTTGCTGTGGTCAGATAGCCCTCTGCAAAAGGGACCTGAAGGTCAAAAAAGCTAAGAAAAGATTAAGGTAGGAAAGGTCCTCAGAGGGAGTGGAAATGAGGGAAGGAGGGCAGAGAGGAAGGCAGGGAAAGTTCCATGGAAAGTCCCAAATCTGACCTAATGTTGATGCAGGGTCAATGGCCCGTTCCAGAAGTTCCTCTCACAACGTTCTGCCCTGAATGGGGAGCCCTTGCTGCCCCCTCCCCTACTGCACCCGCCATTCCTTTTCTCATCTCACTGCCCCAAGCTCCTGGGCCTCTGGCCTGGCCAAAGCCTCCCCTGCTGCCTGGACCACAGCACTCCTCCCTCCACCAAGTCCCCAGTGCCCCGAAAGAGCACCGTGGTTTCACCATGTTCCTCTTTCCCTGTGTGAAGATTCCTGTTCATGCTGCCTCCCACTAACCCCAAGGGCAGGGCTGGAGAGTACTCCTCAGTTTCCAACATGGAAGCTACCGCATGGTTGGATACCCAGGACTGCCTGGGAAAGAACACAGTTTCTGAGCTCCACCCCCTTCTGGACTGGGGTCTCCCTGGGGAGAGGAACCCCAGAGATTAGACTGTCCTGGGACATAGCCTCCCATGCCTTCCACATGTGACCTTTAACCCTAGATCAGAGCAGCAGAACCAAACCCCTGGCAGAGCTCCAGTTGGTGAGATATGAATGAGGTCTGGGAAGGGTGTGCATCCAGCTGGGGACCTTGGCCACCTCTCAGTCCCCAGATAGCACCTCCCACCAGTACAGCCCTTCCCCTAACTTTGAGGTTCTGGAGTAAATTTTGTTCCTCTGGGACAATTAGGATTCTATACTTCCCCCACCCTTATCCTCTCTGGGATCTAAATAAAAAAGTCATGTTTTTGTTATCTTAATTGTAGAAAGTTTATCAAGAAAAAAAAGAGAAAATATTCAAGCAGCAGCAGCCAGGAATGGCCATGACCTCCTGGAGGGGCTAGCAGTGGCACCTTTTAGTTCCACTCAATCCAATGCTGGACCATGCCCTGGCCCGAGGGTGGGAGTAGCCCCACTGAGGAGGTAAACATGGGTGGGAGACAGCACAACTGGCCAGAACCCAGGTAGGCACTGCAGTGAGGCTGGCCATAGGTGGGTGGGCCCAGGGTCCCTGGGGTGGTGGGCAGGCCAGCCTATCTTTTCCCCTTGGGTTTCCCACTAAGCACCAGGAAGGATTCCAGGATTCATAGGGTCAAGAACCTTAAGAGCCTGGGGTGTGAGCCTGCTAGAGTGTGGGGAGCTATTGCTGGTGAACTCAAATATCTGGTACCTTTTGGGTATCCCCTCCAGGAAGACAGCAGCAGGGTCCTGGAGTCCTTGACTTGTCTTAGCACCTGGAGCCCAGGGGAAAGAGATGCTGCACTGTCTTTAACCAGGGGCAATAGGGGCTTAGCAGGTGAATGGGGGTCAGGAGGGAGTTGGCCTGCAGCCCCTCCCACAGCGGGTGGGTGTGGGGCAGGGGCAAGGACAAGGATGACAAGGGAGCAAGGAAGATCCCTTCCCACCAAGGTAGGGAAGCAAACTTGCTTGGGAAAAGTGAGGGGGAGAGGAAGGATGTTTTCATGCCTCCACACCTTTGCTCATGCTATACCTCTCTTCTAAATGTTCTCCATCTAGTGCCCTCATTTATAATCTGGTAGGTCCTTGTCATTCTTTAAGATATCACTTGAATGTCACCTACACCATGGAGTCTTCCCTGACAGGTAAAATGCATGGTCTTCTCTGTGAGCTTCCAGGAACCCTGTATTTACTATTTGTCATTCTGTGCTGCCCACATCCGTTTGTGTGTCTGATCCCCACCTTAACCGTGGACCCCTTGAGGGCAGGAGTGTCACAGCTCTGGGGTCCAGCATCTGATCCAGGACCACAGCAGGCCCCAGTGTCTGCTGAGTGAACGAACAGGTGGTAGCCAGGAGCACAAGCTCTGAAGGCTCTAGGGTTGGCTAAGACCTGGCCTGGCCTGAAGTGACTGACCAGCAGCCTAGGCCTCAGCCTGGAAGGTTCCTGGCCCAATTCTCAACCCTGCTATGCCCCGACCTCTAAAGGGTAAGGGACTTCCCCAGGGGTAACCATGACTCTCCCAGAGCCCACCCCCAGCTCAGCTGCTGCTGATACGGGAGGTCTGGAAACCAGAATACACTTGCAGTGACCAGGCCAAAGGCAGGGTGGGGCCAAGTACTCGAGATCAGAGGTTGTCGTACATGCGCAGCGTCTTCTCCAGCTGCTGGCCTACCCGCTGGTAGAAAAGGATCTGCTGGCGCAGGTAGCTCTGCATCATGTGCTTGAAGTCGAGCTCACGGCGCTGGTGGAAGTGGTTCATCTCAGCTTGCAGGGCGAAGCCCACCACACGGCAGCGCCTGCGAATGCCATCTGCTTCGTCCTGCACCATGCGGCCCTCGTCACTCATGCGTTGGCTCTCCTTTACCTTGGCAAAGGCGCCTGGCACAGGCAGAGTGGAGGACAAGGGAGGTTAGGGCTCTGGTCTCCCCAATTTGTTCCCTAAACCCTCCATGAGTCTCCTCAAGGGCAAACAGTACCCTTATCAGCTCCATTCAGGCCTTTCTCCTAGACTCCAGACCCCTGGTCCAGCCACTGAGTACCACCACTAGGATGTCTCTGATCCTCACCCAAACCTGTGGCACCATGAGCAGCCCACATCCAAGTAGTCATAGCTCTGCTAGCTACATTGATTTCCAGGACCAGGATGTCTTAATTCAGCTCAAACATTACCTCCAGAAAGCCTCCCCTGCACTCCCACTGCATTAGGTGCCTCCTGAGCCTCCTACCGCTCTTACCACCCTGTGGTTTCTCTGCCTCCCTCTGGGCTGTGAACTCAATGTCTCTAGCACCCAAAACAAAGCCGAGCCCACAGCAGATCCTGATATGTGTCCACTAAGCTGATTCAATCTGTTCCTCACTGGACAACTACAACAGGCTCCCAAGGGCCTCCCCACCTCAGTCCCAGACTCTGTGAGGTTCTCCATAGCATCTGAGGAGCAGCCAAGCTGGACACCCTTAACTCCAAGCTTTCCCTGGCTCTGTCTGCAGATCAAGGTCCACACCCATTCATGAGGCCGTCTGGGAGCTGGATCCTGTACCCATTCCACACTGACCCCATGTTCATCAGATTCACCCTGCTCTTTCCTGACTTCATTTCTCTGCCCCCTGGCTCCCTATGCATAATTCAAACCTCCCCTCAGGTATACCAGAAGCCTCCCTCAGTGCTCCCAAGCTTAATGCTTCCTGCCCCATCACACTGCTGATTCTAAAACAGAGCCTCAAAAGCCACCTGGAGTTTTCCTTTGTATGTGTCTCCCCCACAGACAGGCCCTGGCCCCTCCTCACTCCAGTTCCCAGGGGGCTAGAGGAGGCCATTGTAAGAACCAGGTGACAGATGGAGGGCAGGAGATAAACCTGGGCAGGTGACCCACTTAGGAAGAATCTGAATGAATCAAAAAAGCAATTGGTGAATAGATTCCAGTTCTGAATTAACTGGTACTTGACTAATTTTGCATTGAAGCCAGTGGGACAGTTGCTAAGAAGGGAAGGCAGTTTGCCAGTGCCTGGCATTCACTCCTTGCAGGGCTGTAGAGAATCTACTGTGCAAAGAATAAGGAGATGGGAAGGGTTGGCATGGTGAGCAGCATGCTCCTGAGTACTTCAAAGGGATCCACTGCACAAAACTAACATGCTCATTATCCATGCTTCCCACTTCTTCTTTAAGGAGGCTTCTCGAGGGTCTTCAAAATGTATTCTTTTTACCCTCAAATTGTTCACTGCATTCAAGATGCATTTACTATATGCCAGGCCCAGGGCTCTATTTTCTGGAAATAACTCTGGAAGCTTTTAGAGCTAGCAGCACTCATATTAGTAAACAAGTACATAGCTAATTGGTTAATACTGGCATTTTGAGCAGACAGACTCAAGTTGGGACAGTCTCCAGGGCTGCTCACACCACTCGTGAGAACTCTGTAGTCACCAGCTCCCAGCCTCCTGTTCCTTCTCAGCTGCCCAGATCTGAGCAGGAGAGGCAGTATCACTCCAAAGCCTGTGATGAAGATCAATACAAAACTTCAGAGCAGGAGAGGCCCTAGGGGTCAGCTGCCCTCCCTCTCTCCGATGCCACTGTTGTACAGAGGAAACAAGCCATTAGGGAAGGGACTTGCCTAGGGGCTCCCGCCTCCTTCCTGCCCCTCACACAGGAGATGCCTGGCCCAGAGGTCTCCCTCCACAGCTGGGGGGTAGACACTACTTCTACTGCAAGCAACCCATACCAGGTCAGCCAGGCCTTTGTGTGCGGCCCCCAGACAATGGACTCAGGGATTTGAAAAAGTCCCAAGGGATAAAGAAGGACTATAAAAAGAAAGGTAGAAAACAACAGGAAAAGAAAGTAAAGTTAAGCTTCAGCAAAAGGAACCCACTGGAAGAGGAGACACTAACCAGCCTGGATTCCACCTGCCTGAGAAAGTTCAGGTACAGTGAGGCTGGACCTGTACTCAAGAGGGCATATCTTGCCCATGGCCTTGGAGGAAGGAAAGGCCCCTTTTGTGGATGAGATTGAGGCCCAAATAGCAGAAATGAATTTACTGCAATCGCTAGGTATCCAAAGACAGGGAGACAGGCAAGGAGCCAGGGAATAAGGGGGAAGGGGAGGCCCCACCCTGCTCTCTGTCACCTCTCCACCCTATGACTCAGATCTGGGGCCTAGACCAGCTAATATGAACATGCCCCAGAAACTGGCCGGGAGTCAGGGCTCAGGCCTATCCAGCATCCACCCTACATTCTAATTTGGACTCAACCTGAGAGCTGAGGATCCAGGGGAGCCTCCTGCCCTGGCAGTTGTCCTATAGGCCAGGTCCCAAGAATAGGGAAAGGGAGGTTGGAGCTTCAGAGCTCTAGGGTCCCAGGCATAGTCCCTAAGATCCTACCTTAATTAGTCTTGTCCCACTTCTTGGGGATTGTTACCATCTGCTCCAGGTTGGGGGCAGGAATCCTAAATCCCGATGCTCACTGTGTCACCTCTAGCAAGCCACTCCTCTTGCCTGGTCTACAGGTCTCCCCACATCACAGGGGTCAGGTTGGACTAAATAAGATGCTACTGACCACTGCTCACCACAGAATAATGCTTTAGTTTCCACATCTGAAAAATGGATAAGAGTACCTACCCTCTACTGTAATTGAGGTTCGACTGAATTAATATGTATAAAGTACTTAGGATGGCACCTAACCAAATAAAGAAGTTCAAGATGCTACATGCAGTTGTGTGCAAACTGCTTTTCAGTCATAGCAAGAACAAGCTGGTGGTGGCTCATGGCGATGGTTCTCTTTGTTTATGGAAGCCTAGGATGGATGGTAGAGGGAGGGTTAGATGACGGCCCAGAACAGAGAGTCCTGACCCACAGGCAGATGCCTGGTCGGCAAGGGCCACTTTGCCTTGGCCAATCTAGGAGCTCCTTGGCCTCACCCCCATACATGATCTATGGTTCTGGGACTGCCTCCAGCTCACCGAGGATCGTAGCTAAGTTAGTGCTGGAGCATCTAAGCCTCCCTCCCTTCTCCTTCCCCTCTTAGCTCATCTACCCCAGGCAGGATGCTCCTTCCTGCCATCCCTGGGGGAGCTCCTTCCCCCATCTGTCAGGCCAGTGGACACAAGGCTATGGAGTCAGAAACACCTGGGCTCCAATTTCAGCTCCGCTCAACATCCCACCTCACTGTGCCTCATCTCTAAAATGGAAGGGACCACATCGGCCTTCCTTGCTTGGATGTGATGAGTCTAATGACAGAGCCATGGTTGTCAGGTGGGACCCTTGACCGTCACTGTTTCCCCTCATTGTCCCAAGGTAAATATTATTAGAGCCCCCTTACACACTAAGACTGCCCTGGTATGGATCAAAGTCCAGGAGCTGGGCCAGTGGGCAGACAGGCTGGTGAGCCTCATCTCAGCGTCAACCAGCCTCCGTGTCCCATTTTACTAAGGTAAACATGGAGGGAAGAAAGCTCTCTCAAGGTCACTCCAGAGACAATGTTTGTCCAAATCCTGGTCTTCTGATCCCATCTAGGCCTCCCACTTCCTCTCTTTCATGGCCTCTCCCACACGCTCACCATATTCCAGATGTCCAGACAAGCTGGACAGAACCTTGAGCACCAATTTTCCTGCTCCTTCCTCTGAGGAAAGGCTCTAGTGCAGGGCCAGCATGGGACCCCTCCTCCTTCTAGGCTATCGGCCCCCAAAACCTGCCCAATTTTGTCTCAGCCAGATTCTAAGCCCCTTCCCTAACTGACCAGAACACAAGCCTGGGAATGGCAGTGCAGAGTCCAGAAGGAGAAAGAATAAGCCCAAAGGGGCCTCGCTTATTGGGGAGGTGAGAGGAGGTAGGCTGGCCTCTGCCTAAGATTGAACATTCCATGCCAGAGGACTCTTAGAAACACCTCCAGTGGAAAGTCATAAATGGCCTCTCTTAGCTCTCTCTCCCTTCAAAAAGGCCAGTATAGCTTCCCTCCCTTCTACTTCGGTACAAGCCTGGGAGCCCTGGCTATGGGGCCGCCTTCATGCCCCCAGCTCTGCCCTGGGCAAATGTCCCCAGGTACCCCATGGGCAGCGGTTCAGCAGCGGCTTAACCACTATGCCCCTACTTCCCCCTCCCACTGCCCACGCAGGAACATGTCACCCAAGGAACTGGTTAAACCAGCTTTCCCAGGCCCTAAGGCAGCACTGGGTGTGGCTCTAAACAAGGGACACACCTGCCCCAGTGGGCCCCAACCAGCCAGGCCACCTCCCCTGCCCTATCCCTGCCCAGAGCTCAGAGCGAGATTGGAGGGCATCAGTCTGTCCCTCAGCCAGACCCTCCCCATAGTCTCCTTCCCCCACCCTGGGCCTAAGTGCTCACTGAGTCCACTCTCCCTTGTTTTATAGATCAGGAAACTAAAGCCCCAGAGACAGGAAGGCACTTTCCATGGGAAAGAGCCAAGACTAGAACTCAGGCCTCCTGTCTCCTGAAGCTGAAAGGAGAGGGAAGGAGGAGAGGAATTCAGAGATGTGAGAAAAGGGCAGAGAAGAGAAAGTAAAGAAAAGAAGCTTGGAGCTATAGAAGTCAACCTCCTGGTAAAGGAGAGCAGGGCTGGTTTGTACCAGACTGTCCTGGATACGGAGGTAGGGGGTGGTCTTTGCTGACCCCCAGGCATAATGCAGAGGCCTGACTCCTGGCCCCACCCAGGGGAAAAATCCCAGCCAAGCCAGGCCTGACCTCAGGGCCTAAGGGCCAAGGAGCCAGCCCCACGCCCTACAGACTGTCTTACTGAGTTACTAAGCAGCCCCAGGGAGGACCACACCTTCTTCTGACATCTGACCTGCCTTTGGTCCCCAGAACTCAGTCACCCGCTAGGTCAGGTCAGCCCTCTCACTGCTCAGGCAAGAAGACAGTGCAGGAAGGAGGAGTTAGATGGGCCATGAGCTCCTGGACCCCTGGTTCCTCCCCGGCCCAGCCCAGGTGCCCCTGAGTGACCCAGGATGAGTCATTTCCCTGGCAGTTCCTTGACAGCCCAACAGTAACAGAGAGGGGCCCATCCTGTCCCTCCCTTACAGAGGGTCTGTGAGAACTGAAAACGTGGCCAGGCTTGGGAGGTGGCCAACATGGATGTGTGCTTAGGGAGGCACACGAGGGAGGGACAGTCCCAGCTGAGCCATGGACTCCCTGTGTAACCACTCTTCTATGGACACCACCCTCTCGATCTGCAAAATGGGGACCAATGACCCTTCTGTACATAGATTGGGACCTTACAGATAGGATATGCAGTGGAGAGAACAGACTCTGAAAGGCAGTGAGCTCGTGGGTCAGTCAGCTTGTGAGGCAGTGGGAAGACAGGCCACATTGTGCTCATTGTTTGGGTCTACATCTTTGTGGACCTGGTCATCTCTGTGTTTCCAGACCCAGACTGATACCTTGAAGGGCTCACTGTATAATGTGTAAATGAGAAAAATGAGACAGAAAAAGGAAAAGAAATGAAGAAAGGAAGGAAAGGACAACAAGAAGGTAAACAGTGAGTTCCAAGAGGACAGGGACCAGATCTATTCACAATAATATCCCTACACCTAGAATAGCACCTGCCACATAGTAAGTGCTCAACATACTTTTTGAATGAATGAACTCAGAGATAGAAAGACTCAATGAGCTGTTCCATTCTGTGTAGGCCATGTTCATATGCCCACATCCAGCAGAGTACAGACTCAGTACATGTTGCACTGGATCTCCAGACATACTACATTGGCTCTTACCTTTCTGCAGATGGATGATGTCTGGGAAGTTGGAGAGTAAACCCTGGTAGAGAGACAGCATGTCAAGCATCTGGAAGAGGTCATTCTTGGGCTGCTCAGCGAACATCTCGCCAACAGCTTCATAAGTACGGCCCGTATGAGAAATGGCACTGTTGAGGGCCTCAGAGCTAAAGGGGGGGTCCATCTGGAAGGCATGACTGATAGCTTGAAAGGCATTGCCTAGCTTCTGGAATTCTTTGCGGAAGCCCCCTACATGCTTGCGCACTAGCTCCAATGCTACAGTGCTGAGCTGCAGGACACTGTCGTCCATCTTCTTGCTGAAGGCCTTGAAAGTGTCCACACGATCCTCCACATCCTGCAGGTCCTGATGCTCCGTGGGGATCTGGAAGGTGAGGAGGAAGCTGGCACCCACCATCTCATCCTTCTCTGCCCGGCGTTTGCCCATCTTCCACTGCTTGTCATCCAGGCAGCTGAGGAAATGCTGGAAACCCTCGTACTGGGATAGCACAGGGTGGCTGGTCATGTGGTCCATCCAGAGGATGAGCCGCCGCTTCCGCTTCTCAATAAAGTCCTCTTCAAAGCGGCCTGTGGCCTGTTTCTCTGGCAGGTGCGGCACAGAGATGACAGTGAATTTGTGAAGCAGGCGGTTATAGAGCCAATCAAAGTGCTTATATCGCCGGTAGACAGGGGAGCTCGCATGGGTGGGTGTGAGCTTGTAGGAGATGTAGCTTTTGATGCCCTTGAATTTGGTCTGTTTGGTGGGTTCCTCCACAGAGCAGGCAAATGGGTGGGGATTGGCCTTCCACTGGGGGCCACGAGGGCCCATTTCAATGGAGTATGTCTCAGTGATCTTAGCCATCATGGGCACATCACCCAAGATAAAGGCCTCCACTCCAGAGCGCACAAAGCATGAAAAACGATTGAGGTTGCGCCCCACCACACTGCCTCGCTTGGCAGATGCCAGGCTGTCCTGCCTCTCCAGAGGTGGCTTAGGCCGGAAGGCCATGTGCTGGCTGGGGTAGGCACCAGGGTAAGAAAGGTTAAGTGGAGGGTGCCCATTGGTGCCCAGCCCACCAGCCCGTGGCTCCTCCATTACTGTGCTTCCATCATCCCAGTCATCCCAGTCGTCATCATCATCCTCCTCAAAGCTACCCTGGTTTGAGAGGAAGCCACTGCCCCCACCACTCCCAGGGTTGGCCACACTGGGGCTGTCATACAAGCTCATTTGGGTGCCTGGAGAGCCTGCAGGGCTGCCAGAATAGTCAGCATGGTTGAAGCTACTAGTGCCAGAACGGATGATCTCCACATAAGAGGCGGGGAAGAGCCCTATCTCACCGCGGCTATTCTGGCCCTGCAGCCAGCCGTCCAGCGAGGTCTCACTGAAGATGACGAGGTCCTCACCCTGTTGGATGTTGATTTCCTCCTTGTTCTCGCTGTGGAAGTCATAGATGGCTCGGCCTTTTAGTGCCATGGCTAGACCAGTGGTAGAGAAAGATGAGGAAAGGGTCCTGCCCAGAACTGAGGTGTCCAGGAAGGTACTAGCAAACCAAGGCCTGCCCCAGCAGCTCAGTCTCTCCGCCCCTAATGCAGGTCTCAGCACCAAGAGATGCTATCCAGTCTCCTCTTCAAAGCTGTGCCCATGGCCCAGAAACTTCCCTATCACATCTCCCAACACAAGTCTGCGGGCAGGGACACCTCCTACCCATAGTTTTCCTCCCTTCCCTTGGCAGCCCTGAAGGGGAGTCTCTCCCTCCTCCCACTCCCAGAAGAAAAGTCAAGTCACTGGGAGAAGTCAGCTCTGAGAGGGTAAGAATTCCACTTTCCACTGAAACAACGTTCTAAAACAAAAGAGAATCACTCGGAAATGGTTCCAGAACACCGGCAGCTCTGGCTCCCAGCTCCTTCTGGCTCCTCAGGCCATAGAAGGCTCTATCACATTCCCACCAAGTTTTTGCTCCTTCCTCCTTCCTCCTCCTCTCGTGCCACTGGGTTTTCAAAAATCCACAAAATCCAAGAGGGGCAAGGAGGAAAGCAGCAGCTTCTTGAATTGAGTCCAAGGGTGGATGTGTCCAGCTTCCCAACGAGCCAGGCCGGGAAAACAAGGGCTGAGGCTTACACAACAGACCGCCAAACTCTCCGACAAGGCGGGCCAGGGGGGCCCCAGGCGGTTCCGGCGCCCGCTCCTCACTCAAGTGGCCAGCCCCCACCCAAGGGAAGGAATGGGGCAAAGTGGCGCTCAGGCGACTTCTGTCCACGAACTGAGTGGCCTCTTTTGTTTGCCTAATTATTCAGCAGTTTACGAGCCTGAAGCTGACCCGATCTGAGTCTGAGGACCCCGTCCAAAGGTAAGCCGCCCGGCGCCGGCGTACAGACCCCCCCGCCCGGCCCTGCACGCACACACTCAACAGGAGTTTGCAGAGTGAGCTCCGGCGAGCAGATGGCGCGGCGGGCGGGTCGGCCTCGGTTCCGTGGGTCCGGCGGTGGGCGGCAGTGTGCGGCCCCTGCGCCCCAGCCCGCTTCTCCAGCACCCGTAGCCCCTCCGCACAGCCAGCGAGTGGCCAGCCAGCTCCCCACCCCCCCCAAAAAAAAGTCGATTCCGGGAGGTGGCGTCCTGGAGAAGGAAGAAACAGCAGCGGGGGAGGTGCTGGATGGGGGAGAAGCAGGGAGGGTGGCGGAGAGGCAGGGAGGAAGGAAAAGCAAGCAAACTCCAGAGCTCGAGCTGCGCAGGGCAGGGACGCCGGCTCCGCCCTCCCGGCCCGCCTGCCTCTAATTTACCGCACTGTAATAACCCCTCACTATCTTCGCCGAGATCCGGATGCGAGAGGACGAGGTGACCCGGGGTCGGGGGTGCCGCGAGCCTTCGCGGAGAGGAAACTCTCGCCCCGAGGGTCTTGAACGCCAGGCTCTCCCCTGCCAGCCACCGCCGCCTCCTCGCTTCCTGCGATCCGGTCACCCTCCTGCCTTTTCCGTGACGCCAGTGGAGGAGAATTCCGAAAGTTTGTAAACTGAGGGGCTGGAAGGAGAGTACCAGAGCCGGAACCACGGGAAGCGATTAAAGAAGGGTGCTTGGAAATTCACAGACGCTCCCCACCCCAGCCCCGGCGGGACTGGGCTGTGGCGGTGCAGCCCGGGATTTTTCTCCGGAGGGGGCCCCGGAGCCAGCAGACCCTCACAGAAAAAGCCTCAGTGGCCTGGAATAGTGGCCGCTGCAGGTCCTAGTACAAACAGAGACAGGAGCACCTCTGCTTTGGGAAATTTCCTTTAGGGAAGTTTCTTGAGCGACGTCTTGTAGCGACAGAAACAAGCTCAGACACCACCTGGTTCCTTGTTGCTTTGTGCAGCAGCGGGGACTGGGTGTTCTGTCTTTACCAGCAGCTGCAGAAGCGAGGAGAGAGGGGTGGACAGTGTAGACTTCCATGAAGAGGCAAGGGGGATTTGACCCTTAGTTGGTCAGCCCATCCACAATATTTTGAGTACGGACTGCCAAGCACTGTTCAAGGAGCCCTGGAATCACAACATAAGGCAGCCTGGGTTCCTGCGCTGGAGGGTTTTGTATTTATAGTTCACTCTCCTTACCTTAATTCGTCCATTCTGTCTCTGTCTCACTCATTCCAATCACGCACTCAAGGAAACATTAACTAAGTAGCTCTTTCGGCACCAGGTCCCTGGGCTACAAAGAGGAATAAAACATTGTCCTTACTTTGCAGGGGCTCAGGTGTATCTGGAGAAGTATACAGATGCTCGCTGACCAGTGTGACCAGTCCCATGAAATGTGCTTGAGAGGGCACAGATCCTGGCCTGAATGGAGCAAGGATCAAGGAAGTCTTCCTTGAGGTGGAAGTCTTCCTGGAGGAAGAGGTGTTGTGAAGCAGAGGCTTCAGTTCCTACGCCCTTCCCTGGCCGTGCCCTGGAGCCTTACCTACCCCTCTAGCTAGAATTTACTTTCCACTCATTCTCGATCTTTCCACTTGCTACAAATTAACTGGCAGAAGACAGTACTGCTAAAAGTGGGTAACTTTGGCTATTTTGAGAGATGTGATTTGCAGGCCTCTGGCTCCAAAACTCAAATTCATTGGTGCAGTGAATAGATCCAACACCCTCCCTGTGCAGGGCTGCCATTTGGCCCAAATAAAGTCTTTTGTACAAACCCCAAAAACTCAAGTGTTAATATGCACAGAGAAATAGAACTGTCAGGCAAACCTGAATTTTTGCATCAATAGATCGAGGTAGTCTTTTGATCTGGACTGCTCCTTGGGAAGTCCAGGTACCAAAAGCACTGTGAACCTGGAACCACCAGGATGGGAAAAGACAATGGCACTGACAAGTCTCTCAGCCCAAAAACCATAAGATCTTATATCCACCTCTATGGTAGCAGCCTTGATTCTAAGGACTCAGTTTAGCCTAGTATCTCTATGACCAAGGCCTGAGTACATGTTTTCCCCAGCTGCTTTGAAATGCCTTTCTGTGATCTCTCCGGTTCACAAAGCCTCTCTCCAAGCTGGGTGTAACAATAGCAGCTACTTCCTTAGTGCTAGACACTGTTGTAAACACTTTATTAGCTCAATTAACACAATTGGGATTTCTGCTCTCACACGTCCAGAGTCCTAGTCCAGCCCCATCCCCTTGAAGGGCCCCCAGCCACCACCTTTATGGCCTTTAGTTGGTTCCCAAACACTTCAGTCACACATTTACAGACCAACCATCTTTAATTTACTCTCACATATGTTCTAGGTAGGTTTTTCTAACTCTCAGGGGCCACCCTTATTTCCAAGTTCTTAGGGAAAACTCACTCCTCAGCCTCATAGATATTTCCAGGGCTTGTACCTTCCATTCCCACCCTTCCAGGGACTCTCTTCAAGCTTAGGCATTACAGAGCCTCTGGTCACGCATCCCAGGAAAACACTAACATTTGTGGTTTCCCTACACTCTGCTCATTAGTTTGGGAAAAGTTCCTTTATTAAATTCTCCTCACATTATTGTAATTGGAGTTTGTTCTCTTTCTTGCTGGGACCCTGATTCCTGCACAGGAAACAGCATTCATCCCTCCATCCAAAGCATCTAGCTTCCTTCCTTTAGGAAAGGATTCAGCAAAGGAGAGTCATGGCCAGTGGTTTCCAGGGTAACCTGGCCAGTGGTAGCCTGTAGACACACTGGATATTACTACAGTAATACAGACAAGAGATGATGAGGGCCTGAGACAGGGCAGGGCTGAAGAAAAGTGAGTCTGGGAGTTTATGGAGGTAGGACAGAAAGGAATGTCAACCAACAATATGTGGGTATTAAGGGAAGAATCTACATCTTAAAAAATAAGAGTTTGACTCCTCTTCCTCAACAGGCTACTGCCCCATTTCTCTGCTCATCTTTGCAACAAAACTCATCAAAGTGGCACCTATTCCAACCACTTGCCTCCAATTAAACCCTTTCTTTTCTTTAACCTCTCTAGCCATTCTTTCACCTTCACACTTCCCTGAAACTAATCAAGGTCATCAATGACTTAATAGTTATTCTCAACCCTCCTCTTTCTATTCAATTTATCAGTAGTATTTGACCAATTTGGTCATTCCTTCCCTTTGCGTACACTTTCTTTCCTTGCCTTGGGGAGACCATATTATCTGGTTTCCTTCTACTTCCCTGATTCATCCCCTTCTTTACAATAATTCTTAACACTAGAGTGACTAAAGTATTGTGGTCCTCTTGTCTTTTCTATCCATGTTCACTCCTTTGATGATCTCCTTTGATGAGACTTACAGCTTCAAACACCATCCGTCTGCCATTAACACCCAATTTTCTTTTTTAAATCTCTAGCCCAACCCTTTCTCTAAAACTCCAAATTCACCTCTTTCTCTTTGACTTCTCCCCTTGGATATATACACATCTCCAAGCCAACATGGCCAAGACTGAATCTCTGATCTTGTCCCCTGAATCTGTTCTACTTGGCACCCTTCCCTATGTCAGATGATGAGTACTTTTTTTTCAGTTGCTCAGGCCAAAAACAGGAGTCATCCTTGACTTCCCTCATTATCCTGAGGCTCCTCTCTAAAATGCATCTCACTGCTGCTCTTCTGGTCCCAGCCACCATCTTTCTTGCCTGGATCACTGCAACAGCATCTTAATGGTCTGTTCTCAACATGGCATCAGGGTGATCCTTTTGAAACATATGTTAGATGTCAATCCTCTGCTCCAAAGCCTGCAATGTTCTTATCTCACTCAGCATAAGAAGTCCTTACAAGAGCCAACAAGCTCAGATAAATCTGAGTCCCCTTTCCTCTCTGCCTAGCCCGATTTGCTTTAGCCAAGATGGCTGTCACTCCTCTTTTGACATGCCAGGCACATTCCTGTCTTAAGGCATTTGCATTATTGCCTCTTCCTGAAATACTCTTTCCCCTAGATATAGACATGACTAAACCCCTATTAAATACCACTTCAACAAGACCTACCCTGACATGCCCTATTTAAAATTACAGCCCATCTTCACCCCAAGTCCTAAATCCTGCTGAATTGTTTCATGACACCACGTGCTAACATATAATTTACTTATTTATCATGTTTGTCTGGGGAGAAGGAAGTTAGCCAAGAGTCCTGCTACAGACATGTTGAGTGAGAGCTAGGAGGGAATACGGCTAGGGGAATATGAAGGGTGGAGATAAAGTGCAAACTGGGAGAAGATAATTGTACCATATATAACTGGTTAAGGATTAATATCCAGAATATATAAAGAACACCTTTAAATCAATTAGAAAAAAAAGCAAGCAATTTATATGTTTTTTACTGTAGTTGTTACAACAAATTACCACAAACTTAATGACTTAAAACAACACAAATTTATTATCTTACAGTACTGGAGATCAAACATCCAAACTAGGTCTCACAGGGCTTAAATCAAGCTATAAACCCAGCTGTGTTCCTTCTGGAGACTCTAGGGAAAAATCCATTTCCTTGCTTTTACAGGCTTCCTTGAGGATGACCATATTCCTCTGCTCCAGGCCCCCTTTCATCTTCAAAGCCAGCACGCAGACTTCTGCTTCCATCACCATATCTCTTCTGGTTCTTCTGCCTCCTTCTTTGACTTATAAGGACCCTTGTCATTACAGAGGATCCATTCGGATAATCCAGGATAATTTCATTATTTCCAGATCCTTAATTTAGTCATATCTGCAAAATCCCCTTTGTCATGTAAGGTAACATACTCACAGGTTCTGGGTGGACATCTTTTGGGGGGCCCTTTATTCTACTTACCACACAACGTAATAGAAAAATAGACAAAAGACATGAAGAGACATTCCAAAAAGGAGGAAACAGATATGAAACCTTTATTCATCAGGGAAATGAAAATTAAAATAACAAAGAAATACCATCACACACTCCCCAAAATGGCAAAAAGTTTTAAAAACTAAGTTGAGAACGAGGAGCAAAGGGTGCTCACACGCACTACCAAAGGACTATAAATTGGTACAACCTTTTCATTAAATAATTTGACAATATCTAGTAAGGTTGAACAGCACATGCTTTACAACTCAGCAATTCTGCTCCGAGATATCAGATGCTATTGTATGTATATGTGCAACAGAAGACCCAGAAGAATGTTACTGGCAGCACTGCCTTTAAAAAAAAAAAAAAAAAAAAGTCCCTCCAGCCTTGGCTGGTGTAGCTCAGTAATTGAGCTCTGGCCTGTGAATCAAACAGTCCCCAGTTCAATTCCCTGTCAGGGCACATGCCTGGATTGCAGCTGAGTCCCCATTTAGGGGCAAACAAGAGGAAGCCAACTAATGTTTTTTTTCCTTTTCTTTCTCCCTCCCTTCTCCCCTCTCTGAAAATTAATAAATAAAATCTTTTTTTAAAAAGTCTTTTCAAAAATACCCAACAGGAAAAAAGATTAATAAATTGGATAGAGCCAAACAATGGAGTATTACACAGCAGTAAAACACAACTACAGCTACATATAATAAATTCCATATGATGTGATTCCTTCTGAGCAACACTTCTCAAGTGTTGTTGTATATACATATTACTTGGGGGGTCTTGTTAAATGCAGATTCCAATTCTGTAGCTCAGGAGTGGGACACGAAATTCTGCATTTCCAATGAGCTCTCTGCTGGTCCACAGGCTACATTTTGAGTGAGAAGGATGCATATTTAGGGATGCATGTATAATGATAAAACTATTTTTATTTCTCTCTCTTTTTTTTTTTTCCTGTGCTAGGGAGAGCGCAAATGCAGTCCCCCACCACCACAAATTTTGCAGTGGTGTCCTGGCCAGTGTGGCTCAGTTGTTGGAGTGATGTCCTGCAATCAAACGGTTGAGGCCTCCATTCCCAGCCAGGGCACATAGCTAGGTTCCGGTTCGATCCAGGTTCCTGCTCAAATGATCCCACTCAGGGCGCTTATGGGAGGCAACCAATGGATACTTCTCTCACATCGATATTTCTCTTTCTCCCTTCCTTTCTCTCTAAAAGCAATGAAAAATTGTCCTCTGTTGAGGATTAAAAAAAAATTTTTTTTAATTATGCAGTTGATTTTCCCACATTTGGGGAAATTGCAGGAGTCAGCACATCCAGGGTGCAATGGATAAGACTTGCTCTGGGAAAACCACCTTCGTGATTATGGTATCTCCCCTGACAGGTAGGTGTAAAACTATTTTTCTTTTCTTTCCTTTTTTAAAAGATTTTATTTACTTATTCTTAGAGAGAGGGGGAGGGAAGGAGAAAGAGAGGGAGAGAAACATCGATCTACGAGAAATACAACGATCATTTGCCTCTCACGCACCCCCAGGTGGGGACCTGGCCAGCAACCCAGGCATATGTCCTAATTGGAAATCGAACCGGCGACCTTTCGTTTCCCAGGCCAATACTCATTCCACTGAGCCACACAGCCTGGGCTAACACTCTTTTTCTTTTTAAAACAAAAACTCAGAATAGATACTTTTACCTTTGATTGGTAGCCTGGGCGGGAGACCTGGTGACTGGCTGTTGGTTTTATAAGTATTCATATAACTTACATATGATACAAGTTCTTTTTACCCTATACCAAGTATTACACTTTAAAAAAGTGTAAAGCATACAAAAAAAAAAAAAAAAAAAACCCCAAAACGAAAGTGAACAACTAAGAAGCTAGGCCGTGTCACAGGCTTGGGCAAAGGAAGAGGTTGGTCTTGCAGCCTACACGCAGGTATAACTTACAGAAATAACTAGCTGAAACAGTTCCCTTTGTTAACTCAATACTAGGTGATCGGGTATCAACCCTGTCTAGCAAATTCGTCTGAGTCTGCACTGAAGCATCAGGGCTTATACCTACTATCTAAGTTTCTCAGACTTGCTGGGTTTTATGAATCAAGCGGCACTCTTGTCAAAATGCGTATTTCCCAGTGGTTCCCCTATAGATTCTGATTCTGCGAGGGTAGGAAGCGGCGGGAGAATCTGTACTTCACAGGTTCCCTGTAGCCTAGCCCCAGTCAGCACGAAAAAAACGTCCCGTCTGCCCAGTGAAGAACCTGGCTCTGGCCATCGGCCGGGATCGCCAAGTTAGCCCACGGGTCGGCAGACTAAGGGAGGTCCCCTATAAAGTGAAAGGAACCTAACGGTCAGCACTACGTAAATTCAACGAAACAAGCGCTGTCTTCCCCCTTCCTCGCAACTGGCCTCTATAGCTCTTCTTGTAGGGAGACTCTCCTAGGAGTCCCTAAAAGGCAGCCATCTGAACGACAAAAAATGATTACGGTTCTAAGAGACTGGTTTTCCTGGCAACTTAACTCGGCTCCGCCCGCCCGCGGCCCCGCCCACTTCCGTCCCTGGCTTGTCAGGTGACGGAAGAAACGCAAGACACAGTATGAAAACGTGGTCCCACTCTGACCAATGGAAACCGGGGGCGTGGCTACAAGCCTTTCTTTCATTGGCCCAGTTGTTTGGGGGCTGCCAGGTCTTCGTGCGCAGAAGCGGAAGTTGCGTGAACGCGGAACTCGTGCGCCGTCTTTCGTCCTAGGGAGGCTGCAGTCGCCGTCATGGTCCGGAAGCTTAAGTTCCACGAGCAGAAGCTGTTGAAGCAGGTGGACTTCCTGAACTGGGAGGTGACTGACCAAAACCTGCATGAGCTGCGCGTGTTACGGCGTTATCGGTTGCAGCGACGTGAGGACTACACGCGTTACAACCAGCTCAGCCGGTCTGTGCGCGAGCTGGCACGGCGCCTGCGCGACCTGCCCGAGCGCGACCCGTTTCGCGTGCGCTCCTCTGCCGCGCTGCTGGATAAACTGTATGCTCTCGGCCTGGTGCCCACGCGTACGTCGCTCGAGCTCTGCGACTTTGTCACGGCCTCGTCCTTCTGTCGCCGCCGCCTGCCCACCGTGCTCCTTAAGCTGCGCATGGCGCAGCACCTCCAGGCTGCCGTGGCTTTCGTGGAGCAGGGCCACGTGCGCGTGGGCCCCGACGTGGTCACCGACCCGGCCTTTCTTGTCACCCGCAGTATGGAGGACTTCGTTACTTGGGTTGACTCGTCCAAGATCAAACGGCACGTGCTGGAATACAATGAGGAGCGAGATGACTTTGACCTGGAAGCCTAACGGGTCTTCCCCCGCCACTGCTGCATTTCATAGGTTAGGAAGCTGAGACCAGATGCTGGAGATTGTGTAAAGGCGCTTTTCCCCAAGACTGTGCCAGCCAGTCGAAGGACATTCGAAGCCGAAGGGTACGCCCCTGTTTTCCACGAAATTTTCTTAACCCTTGGACTATTGATGGTTAGGTTAAAAGACTGCCTTGAAACAAGGGGAAGCGTTTTTGTGCTGCACTGGGAATCATTAGGTTCTTGTTCCTTTAACACTAGTGTGAAAGCAAAAACTTTGCACCCCACTCCCGTTTTCCCCTTATCCCCTAGCAGGACAGTTTGGTTCATTTAATTCTAGTTCTTGCTACTGTTCATGACTAAGCTGTGTACCAATGGCAGAGAATTTTGTCTTTAAGTTTTCACAAAATGGATGAGACTTTAGTGTTCGGTATCCCGTTTCTTGTTTAAAAGAATGCTTTTTTAATGCCAATAAATGGTCCAACTGCTTTGTAAGTGCAAATTTTTGCCTGCTTTTTTCTCATAAGGTCTTATCTACAGGTCTCCTTTGCTCAGGAACCTAGAGAAAAGGAATAGGGTCAGCAGCTGTATGCTCGTGAGGCCTACAACAGGGGTGGCATGTGAAGGTTGCAGGAGTGTTTGTTGTACGCGGCTGGGCAAATTTGTCAGTTTACCAATCCCTCAGAATGACTGTTTCCACAGATCTCTTTCCCACAGAACTTCCTGTTGATATTCCAGCCCCAGCAAATACCATATTAGAGGGCTGAAGTGTTTGCTTACCTAAGGAAATAATCACCCTGTGCTTGGCCATCTAGCAATTAGTAGTGGCCCAGGAGGTTCCTGGAAACTTAGATGTTATTAGGGGTGGGAGAATTGGAAGGAGGAGTAGGGAGACACTGATTTTTAACCAAGGCTTCTACAAGGAGAATAAATAAAATGTCAAGACCAGTGGAATGGCTTTTACAGGGGCCTCCTCTCTATCCCCTGGTGTGAGGCAGCACTTGAATAAACAATGAAGGGAATGAGGCACAATGAAGGGATGACAATAGCAAATGCTTTACATGCCAGGCATGGTTTTCAGTACGATACATATTTTAACTATTCAATACTCCAATGAAGTAGGGAATCCAATTACTGTATTCTCTACTTTTCAGGTGAGGGAACTAAGGCAGAGATGAGTCAAATTACCCTAGATTGCATAGCCAATAAGTGGAGCTGGAATCATGTTCCTTTTAAGGAACTCAACATTGGCATTGCTGACATATGTTTTTTTTTTTTTTAAAGGTCTCAGCTATGCCTCAAATATTAATGAGATGCCCTATATACTCATTTATTTGCTACTAAAAATTGAAATAGCACACCAAGAAATATGTTACAATTAAAATGTATGAAAACCAGAGAATCTAGTTATGTACCCTGCACTAACCATGCTCTAGCCAAACCACTCAATGTTTCCCTTTCTATATTCCTTCCACACAGGTTACTTACTTTTAAATCTTGATGTTGGGTGTTGTCATACTGATTTCAGGCTTTTAAAACAAAAACACTGAAAACCTATTAGTGCTTCTTTCAGTCAAATGGAAAAGGAACTGAAGTGTATTGAAACGATTCAAATAAAAACTACATAGATTCTTTATAAATTACTGGCATCAAGGTAGACAAGAAAAAGATATCATATAACTTTTTTTTAATTTAAAGATTTTATTTTATTTTATTTTAGAGAGGGGATGGGAGGGAGAAAGAGAAAGAAACATCAATGTGTGGTTGTCTCTCCTATACCCCAAACCTGGGACCCAACCCACAGTCCAGGCATATGCCCTGACTGGGAACTGATCCCATGTCCCTTTAGTTCACAGGCCAGCACTCAATCCACTGAGCCAAACCAGCCAGGGCACATAACTTCTATCATAGCTTGTCAGAATGTTGATACTCAGTTTATCCTAGCATAGAGTAGCTTTCCCAAGGTGCTGCATAATGGCCTTAAAATTACTAGCAAGAAAAAAAAAGCATAAGAATGAGGTTTATGACTAAGTTAATTCCATGTCATAATTATTCCTCATGCTTAGATACATTTTTTAAAATTTTTAGAAGGAGGGAGAGAGGGAGAGAAATCTCTTCAGCGTGTGGTTGCCTCTCAAGCGCCCCCTACTGGGGACATGGCCTGCAACCCAGGCATGGGCCCTGACAGAATAAAACTGCGGTCCTTTGGTTTGCAGGCCGGCACTCAATCCACTGAGCCACACCAGCCAGGGCCATGTGCTAATATTATTAGAAGGATCTCTATGATATAGGCAATAATGACAGCTACATCTAGATTTTCTGAATCTTGATTCAATCTCAAGTGTCCCTTGGGTTTTGTTTGTTTTTAGAGAGAAAAGGTCTATTAAAGCTGGGGGCAGTGAAACAAGGAAAAGCCTAGGACAGAAGAAGCAACAGGAGAAATGTAGACAGGGCTGCTTTGGCTCTCTAGAAACATTTTGTGAAAAAAAAATGAGCCAAGGCAGGGCTACTGTCAGCTCAGTGAGAAGTTAGAAAAGGGGGCTTTGGGGACAGGTTCAGGGGATTTGCCCAGGATGAACTGCTGCTCCCCATTCCTCCCCTGGTTGCAAGTCTCATGGGGACTGTTAGAGTTAAGGAGATGTGTGGAAGGGAAGAAAAGCATGGGTGTTTTTCCAGGAAGGAAAAGGTGCTGGAATGTGTGCATTCTTGACTTCATGCAGAAAAGATTTCAAGACACTAGTCCACGTGATTTTGAGAGTACATTTATTAAATCTGGGGACAGTGAAACAAAGGAAGGGCTTACTATAAAAGAGACAAGATGACAGCAATAGTAATGAGCCTAGACTGGGATGGCTAGATGCAGGAAAGGAAGTCTCAGTAACAGAAGTGAACCCGACTAGGCTGCATGGACTGAGGAATGGATGTTACAGAGACAAAAGGAGGGCCTTTGGAGACAGATTCTGTGTGTTAGCCCAGGATGGGCTGCCACTGCCTGCTGTTTCCCTGGTTGCAAGTCTCCTGGGAACACTTAGAGGTTAGAAAAAAGAAAGCAAACGTACCCACCTGAGGAAAGAGCGTGGGTTGTGCTCAAGAGGATACACACTGGGCCCTTTGTCTTGAGGGTTCTTACCTGTTTTCTTCTAAAGATTTTATTTTCTTTTAGAGGAGAAGGGAGGGAGAAAGTGAGAAACATCAGTGTGCGAGAGATACATCAATTGGTTGCCTCGCCTCCAACCTGGGACCTGGCCCACAATCCAGGCATGTGCTATGACTGGCATTCAAACCTGTGACCTTTTGTTTTGCAGGCTGGTGCTCAGTCCACTGAGCCACACCAGCCAGGGCTTATCTGTTTTCTGAAGGCAGGAGTTTTAGGGGGGGATTTCAACAACATTCAGTAGGTTTCCAGGTGTGTCCTTTAATATGCTGATGCATCAAAATGATCATGTAGGGGAGTTAGGGATCATTATCTGGTCAGCTTCACTGCTTTACTTTTATCTTGGATTTGTATATCTCTAATTGAGCTTTTTTTGTTATTTATTCCCCTGACTTAATTCATTCTGGGGTTTGGCTAGCACTAATGGCACCAACTGCATTTCTGTTATCTATCTCCTTGATCAGGATAATTTAATCTACTCATTCTGTGTATAAACCATGTGCTCCTAAGTATCCTTGGTTAGGGAAGATAAGATCTTGTGATTTATTAACTGTCTGTTAATTGCTCAGCCTTGCTTATAACTATTTCATCTTAGTTTTCTTCATTGCACTTGCCAAGGAATTTTCCTAGCTTCTTACTATCCTACCTGAAGGCTGCAGTCACATCGTGAAACAGTCTCTCCACTACAGACTGTTATGTCTGATAGGAATGTCTTTGTTTGCCTGGTGTCCCAGGACCAGTCAAATAGCAGCAATGTGACTTAGTGTGGGAGCTCTGAGCCACACCAACAATGTGATGTAGGGTGGGAGCTTTGGCTCCTACAGCTGGACGTCTTGACAGGCTGAAAACTGAGATCAACTTCATGGACAGTTAACTGTTTCTGCATGATGGAGCCTTAATAAAGACTGGACACCACAGCCCAGTGAGCTTCTCTGGGTTGTTGTACTCCACATATATTGCCACACATTGAAGCTGGGAGAGGGTATGCTGTCCTGACTATGTGGAGAGAGCACAATGGGAGCTCTGCACTATGTGCTTCTTCCCTTGGTCTTTAATTTGTATCCCTTCTGTTTCCCATAACCATGAGCATAGCAGCTTTTAGTGAATTTGAGTCGTCTTTCTAGTGAATCACCAAACCTGATAGTAGTTGGGGAACCATCTGAACTTGCAAATGTCCAAAATGAAGATAGTTTTTAATTAAAAAAAAAAAAAAATGAGGACAGTCTTGTGTGGATGGGCTGTATGCCCTAATTTTGCAGTTGGCTAAACTCTCATAATTATTTTCTTAGTAATTTTCTTTAAATCATATTGCTTTTCTTTTCACTTTAGTTTAAAAGGAAATTGCCCAAAGAAAAGCTTTAAGGATGTTACATAGTCATGTCTGAGAGAGAAGGCATGACAAATTGCCTTGGTGCCTTTGGACTTAATCGTAAGTTTAAGGTGTTCTATAATAGTGAAATTACAGAATTTACAGAATGAAGTCACTGAATTCATAGCAGGTGGGCTAACATGTTTCCCCATAACTAACACCTAGTAGTATCTGCCTGAGATGAATGATACATTCTACAGGTTATAACTAGGAGCTTTTGAAGTTAGGATGTCTCCAAGGAACTTCTTCTTCCTGTTGTTGTCTGCACCCACCCCCCACCCCCGCTTCTTTAATGTGACTTTTTTTCTTCTTCTTTTTCCCCCCAAGGAACTTCTTGAAGACAAATTAGCCAGGCCATTTCATGAAAACAGGAAAGTGAGTAAGCATAAATCAAAAAAGAAGGGACATTTAAGGTAATAGTGATTATTTTTATTGTAATCAATGAAAAATGTACTTCAAGTACTTACCAGTTCTTTTTTATTGAGGTAAAATGCCTGTAACATAAAATTTACTGTCTTAAACTATTTTTAAGTGCACAGTTCACTGGCATTATGTACATTTACATTCTTGTGCATCATCAGCACTATCAATCACCAGAACTTTTTCATGCTCCCCAACTGAAGCTCTGCCCCCATTAAACACTCACTCCCCATCTCACTCCTCCACCCCACTTCCCCACCCCAATGCTTCGACTTCGCTATGAACCTGACTGTTGTGGTTACTTAAAGAAAAAATCTGTTTCTCCTCTTTACCACAACGCTACTCATAGAATACTTCATTTCTGACACTCTGTTCACCAGTAGTGTATGTGTGTGGGCAGGAGGGTGGGGGTGGGTCACACATCAAGCAACTCCGTAACAAAGATAACTATCCTACAATTCAAAGCTGGATGTCCCAATTCGATTCAGTTCTAATATCATCTACCTGGATATGGTGCAAGATTGATACAGAGAGATCTAATCAGATGACTGGGAAGGTA